TAGACAAAAATAATTTAAATATTATTATTGATTATCTTCCAAAAATATAAATGATTATCTTCCAAAAATAAAAACAATTTGTTCCAAAAATAAAAACAATTTGTTCCAAAAATACTCTTCAATTAATACCATTCAGTTTCTTCCATTTTTTTTACAGATTATAATATATCATTTTACCACAATCATTGATCAAAAGAATGAAAGACGACCCTGATCGATTAATAAAGTTAATACTATTTATTTCTAGCAAATAAGTATGTCTATTGTTAAGATGTCTATAAAATATTTAAATTAAAACTAACCTTCCATCTGCTACATATATTAAATATGAAATTTTACTCTGAATCGTTTATCAATTGGTATCTTTAGAATGTTGTTATGTTGATTGTATAGGCTGAAACACGTTCCAACATACTCCAAAACACAATATATAAACAATATATATAGTCAAATTAAATCAAAGTCTATCCTTAACATTTAGAAATTTGATATAATAAAACAATAATCTGATGATCCAATATAGTGATTTTCATATCCTTACGGATGTTGGTCTCAGATCTGGGACTTTCTCATTCCTAAAGCTACTTTCAATTATGAAGTCTCGTTCCTAAAGCTACTTGCACTTATGTGGCGGCGGCCTGGATATATATATGTTTCACTCGTTTGTTAATCATTAGATTAATCTTAATTTTGTCAATCCATCTCAACTATCAAACTTTTTGATCGATGTTCCATATTAATTAAGCTTTTTCTTAAAGTAGATAATGAGAATAAAATTGTACATATTTCTCCTTTATATATGAACAAGGATAAAATAATAAAATTATCTGTGGAGGGATATTAGGATATACCCTGATATCACGGTAGTACTAGGGGTGGCAAAAAATGATCCAAACCATTAACCCAACCCGAACCCAACCCAGAATTAGCAGGTTGGGTTGAGATTTTCAACCCATTTAAATAAATGAGTCAACCTGTCTAACCCATTTAAATAAATGAGTTGGGTTGGGTTGAATTTTTGACCTGTTTTCAACCCGTTTTCAACCCACTTAAAATATTATATAAATTTATTCTATTCTTAATATTATATCTATTTTATTTTTTATTTTGTTTCTTCTTAAATAAATTGGTCCAAGTTTCATGATTAATTACTCTTCGATTTCAATCCTTCAATTCTTTATACGTTTCATTACTAATCAGTATCATCAATCATGAGTCTCGACGCTTTGCCTTCAATTCTTCAATCTTCATACGCTTCGATTATCAATCTTCTCCCCTTCTTTTGAGTTCTACCTTCTCCAATCAAAGATTTGGGTTGGTTTCAGACTTTCAGTTTCCGATTTGAGGTTGAGGGCTTGATCAAGTAAGTGAGCATGTTGCCGGATTTATAGAATTTTGTTTTGATATATGTTTAAATTAAGTACTAGTGAAGATGGTTCCTTTCAGATTTTGTATAGTTCGCTTTGCCATTGTGTGTTTTCTATGAATTACCTCGTATCTTCGTACATGTTTTTGAGTGGAAACCTGAAAATGGCGAAAATTGAAATCCATATTTATTAGGTAACTATTATCGCCTCTAAATGTATAATCCGAGTCCAGCTTTGTTGGTACACTTTCTTGAGGGTAAAGTCTTCAGATTGCAACGTTTTCTTATTAAGTTGTTATTTTTCATATCACTATACATGCTTTTCTGTTTAAAAAAAAGGGCATCATCCTACTTAAAATTTTAAAAAATTCAACTTATTTTGAACAATATATTTATTGTGGTTGTGTTTTATTCAAACTTTGAACAATTTGGTTGTATTTGTGGTTGTGTTATGTTTTATTCAAAAAAAGTTAAATATTCTAGTTCTTTTTTTATTTAAAATTTTAAAATTAAATGGGTCAATCCAGGTTCAACTCATTTATTTAACAGGCTGGGTTAAGAAAATCGTAAACAGGTCAACCCGCTGTCAACCCAATAACCCAACAGGTTGGGTTGGGTTGAAAAATCTCAACCCATTTAATTAAATGGGTTGGGTTAGGTTGAGATTTTCAACCTGTTTAATAAATGGGTTGAACCCGAACCCAACCCAACCTAACCTGACCCATTGCCACCCCTAGGCAGCACTGTTTATAATGCCAATATTCAGTTTCCTTTAAAATCGAAGTGAACATATGTGAATGTGGGTAGTATTGTTCATAATATCAATATTCATACGAGAACACTTCTATTAATTTAGTTTGTTAAAATACTTGTTCATAATGTCAATGTTTATAAGTCAACACCTCCATCAATTTGGTTTCCTGCTTCATTGATGCACAATTAAGTTCATAATTAGTGAACACCTCCACCAATTTGGTTTCCTGCTTCACTCATGGACAATTAAGTTCATAAGTGAACACCTCCATCGTTTGGTTTCTTGCTTCACTAATGAACAATTAAGTTCATAAGTGAATGCCTCCATCAATTTGGTTTCCTGCTTCACCGAAGGACAATTAAGTTCATAAGCGAACACCTCCATCATTTGGTTTCTTGCTTCACTGATGAACAATTAAGCTCATAAGTGAACACCTCCATCAATTTGGTTTCCCGCTTCACTGATGGACAATTAAGCTCATAAGTGAACACCTCCATCATTTGGTTTCTTGCTTCACTCATGAACAATTAAGTGAGTAAGTGAACACCTTCATCAAATTGGTTTCCTGTTTATAATGTCAATATTCATAAGTGAACACATCTATTAATTTGCTTTTCTCTTCATAATGTCAATAGAAATCGATATTTAAAAAAGAATCATAAAAATAACTTTCATTATTATCCAACCTTAAATTTAAGTAACCGTCAGCACCCATTAATTAAAAAAAATAAAAAAATTGACATAAATACCCTCTTCACATTCAACAAACGTGGGATGAAACCAAAAAATTTGGTGAAACCTGAATGACCCATTTAGGTTTATAACATTAACACTAGTCCGTTGGTTAACAAAAGATTATAATCCTACATATAGGTTCAGTTTCACAGAAAACCGTAAAAAAAAAACAAATAGTTGAGGAACATCCTAATAATTCATTTGTACGATATGCACATATGCATAAAGGTAATTTGTTTGGTATGTACATGTGTATGAAATTACACTTGCATATAAACTAGAAAATGTACATGATGACATATGCATGTGCATATAAACCATAAAATATCTTCTTTTACTTATATGTATATGTGTATATCATAAAACTGAATAGTTATTAAATTTACATATTAATAACGATTAGAAAAGTTTTCAAATCTTTTTGATTTATTGAAAAGAAGAAGACTATATGAAATATCATCATATATTGTGGCATCCCTTAACCGTCTTGGATGTGTACAGGTCATGGGCGGTTATATTCATGCCCCAATTCAAAAGGAAAATTATTGAATTATAACTTTAAATAAAAAAAAATCGTATTTGTTGCAATATTTTTCATGATTGCCCTAATTAACCATCCCTTGTTGACACCTCCAATATTCTTAAGATGAGTCACTCATTACTCCTCACAATCCACACTACTTTGAAGGTCGTAATTCTTCATTTTTGTAATGATTTCAACAATTAAGTCTGCCATTTATTTCATAATATTTGTTAATTTTGTAAAGTCATGTGTTTATTGTTGTTATTAATGGTGTTTTAATGAAAATTATTATTAAACTCAACCTCATCCGTTCTAGATGAGAGTTATTCGACTTAGGATTTTTTTTATACCCTTACGTACGCCATGATCACTCGACTTGTTAAATGCAACTATGCATGCTATATCGCACCTCAAAGTCTCCAACTTCACATCATAATACTAGCTCTTCTTCGGCAATGTAGGAACATATACACATGAACACATACAATACATAAGATGTATGGAAAATTAATTGTAATTTGAAAATGCACGATATTATTGGATAAAATGTCTCACAACTTTTGTTTAATTTATTTATTTATGGTAGTAGGTAAGTTGAAGAGAAATTAGATAGATCAACTCTCATTCAAGATTTAATTAGGGGTTGTTTACTTATCTCTTATCACCGCTTACCGGTGGGAGGCTCTTACTCGATTAAGAGGTAAGGTTGTTTACCAAAAAAAAGTACACCTCTGACCATGCTCCTGCCTTTGACCGTGATATGACCACAAACAGAGAAGAAGTTATATATCTCCGGGTAAGCGTTAATATTTCCCTGTTTACCCTTCTCCAAAGTATCTTGCAGAGATTGAGAAACTATAATATGGTTCACCAAGATGAATAGTAGAAAGATGAAAATGAATGCCCTTTTCTTTCGTGTTTTGGTAGATCAAAGATGAGAATGATGAGTGGTATTTTTTTGGTTACTAGATCGTAAAACGTCCAACTGATATGAGGACAAGCAGGGGAAAGATGTTGGCTACCGAAGAACACTAACAACTCAAATAAAATCAACCATTGTTGGTATGAACACCCTAAAGGCGAATAGTGTTTTTTTTTAGATTTTACTTGATTTTTAGGGACCATTAGCCTTTTCAATTTTGACCAAATAAACTGTTGCTTGTCAAAGGGGCTTTGGATTTAATTAAAATAAATAAATAAATAATTTTATTAAGTTAAAAAGAATTAAATAATGTTAAATGCGCAAGAATAATATTTACAGTATTTGATAAACAATAAATTGCAATAAGTATTTATTTCAAATATAAAGGTATAATAATTATTTTAACTGAGTCAGCACTTGATAAACATATATTTTCAATCAGTACTTATTTGAGTAAAATCTCTTATTTTAGTGAGGCTACATAGAGGATTATATTATAACAAAATTCGAGTCAGAGGGTCAAAAAGGCAAAACTTTTCACAAGGGATGACAAAGGTAACTTAAGCACAAATTCAGGGACGATCTATGTAATTTTCATTCCTTTTACTCTTTGGAAAAGGTAGCGTACTTTCTTCTTATGTAAAGTTCTGTATTAGATCCAATGAGAAGTCCTTCTGTACTTGCAGCCTAGCTTGGGGCTAAGCATACATAACACTCACATATTAAAGCAATGGATTTCTCGTCGGCATGGCTATCGGAGCTGGTAAGTAAAGTATATGCAGTTGTTATATGTACATATACATGTATATCTTGATATATCTAATTCACATGTGTTTGTGGGTTTTGAATCTATAATTTAGGAAATGCAAGATCAAGGTTTCATGAATCAGTATCAGATGATCAAACCATATCACCTGGTTGCTGACTTTAGTGTTGATTCATTTTCCTCAGAAAGCAACACTGAAAATCCATCTGTTGTAGGTCAAGCCATCCAAATTCCGGCAAGCATCAAAGAAACGGCCAATAACAGTAAGCTGCCTAGTTATAAAAAAGCCAATAGTATTAACAAGAACCTTACTCCAATTGATGAAAAACCGAAGACAAAGCCCCTTCCCGATGTTCCCAACACTTTCACTATATCTTTTGGAGATCTTAAACCTAAAGATGAGGTCATCCCGTTCAAAGATTCTTTTGGTTACACAACTGGTACCAAAAAGGTTCCAACTGTGATCAGGAATCGGATTCAGCTCCAAGATCATATGTTGGCGGAGAGAAAGAGAAGAGAAAAGTTGGCTCGGCGGTTTATTTCTTTGTCAGCCCTCCTTCCTGACCTAAAGAAGGTACTAATCATCTCACTCAATTAGCACCATAAATATCGTAGGATGCCCTAAAGTAGTATAAATTTCTTGTAATGTCTACTCAGTATTACCTTTTGGACGTAGTTTGGTATTATAAGCTAGTTAACTGTTTGGTTGTAGATGGATAAGGCAACTGTGTTAGAAGATGCAGCTAATTATATACAAGAACTTCAAAGTCGCGTGAAGGAACTCGAGGGATCATCAGACTTGAAAACAAAGAATAATATGCAATCGGTGATATCTGCAAAGAGATCAAAGCTTGGCCATACCTATGAAGAAGGTTCTTCTTCTGATGAAGCAAACTATGGAGAGAGCCATAGCCCTAGCAATTTTGAGATCGAAGTGAGGATGTCTGGAAGCAGTGTGCTAGTACGGATCTATTGCCACAAAAACTATGTGTCATTAGTGAAAGTGCTTAGCGAGATGCAGAAGCTTGGACTATTGATCACCAGTAGCGCTGCTTTGCCATTTGCCAATACCACTCTTCTTATCTCCATTGTTGCTAAGGTATGTACTTTGTTGGATCCTTGATCAGAACACAAAAAGAGAAATGAAGTTGTTTGTTTAATAATGATATGAGCTATGCTTATATTGATTCTGCTCCAAAATAGTTTTAATCTAGTGTCACGCTATTGATTACGTGCTTCAGAAAATGAATTAGACAACGATCAAATTCTCATTTGTTTTTCCTCATTTCTACAGAAGATGGATGACTTCTCGATGACATCAAACGATCTTGTGAAAAACTTGCAACTTGCTATTTGAGCTTTAGGTACTGTCATGCAATTTGAAGTTCAAGATTTCAACTCGAAGATTGTCCACTGATGCATTCATTTCCTTTTTTATCCCCACTGAAAACTCAAAGAGGCCGAGTATACCAAGTGACTCATTGACACACCATGTTCATTCACCAGGTAACCTACTATTATAACCCTCTCAACCTGATTAGGAAAATTTTAGAATCATCCCCAAGATTTAGGTTCTTTCAGTATGCTCCTGAAGAAGCATAAGATCGCAGCTCAGTAAAATTAATTCTAGGGTTTTTCCCTATTTTATATTTCTTAAGAAGATGGAAGGTTTCGCGGTGGGAATAACCTTTCAATTGTGATCTTTGTTGTTGTCCCCTGTATTATTAGATTGTAATTTTGATTAATGTAGAAGAAAGCTGAGAGGTTTGAGTGTTTGGCAATAGTTTTTTGTGGGTAACTAAGTTTATTTACCCTAGTGATGTATCATGAAATCACCCTTTACTCTCTTTCACGTTGGCGTTGGATACTAGGAAAAGATCATGTGCTTTTTGGCTTTGAGAATTATTATGCTAGTGAGTGCCTGCTTCTTATTCTTGTCCGTAGCATTTTGTTTATATGTGTAGAATATATACTGAATATTCAAACACGTAGTCTGTCAGCTATTAATTTTATATTACATTGGTCCTAAAATCCATGTTTATAAAAAGATAAAAAAAATCTTAAGTGTGTGAACAAGGAAGATAGCCTCTCTTTTATTCATGTCTGTCCATACAACGTACATATGCTTGAAGAAAATATCCCTACTGTTGGAGAAGAATTTGGCATCTCTTTCCGAGGCATTGATGACTCTAAGGACGAGCTACTAAATATTTAATTAAGGAAACAAGAGAAATTTGTAGATGTTTAAAGGGAGAATTTAAAAACCCTAGGTATCAAAAACGTCATCTTAGATACTCAGAAGACTTTATAAGCGCAAGAATCGTGCTTCTAGGAAGAAGTAATCCATTTATCTGACTTGTTTTTTGTTTACTTAATCTATATGCCTTTTGCTATATAATTCTGAGTTAATTTGTACTATATGGTTTGGGTTGGGAGTCCATCTCCTTCCATATTTTCCCTTTGATTTTCGTTTTGTTTTATTTCTTTTACTTCAATACACCTCCTTATACTCTTTCTTGTCTTAATTTCTTTCATATTACATATTCTCTAAGAAAATATATAATTTCTAGATATGCTGAAGTATTTAAATTATTCAATTCCTACATTAATGTAATCATGGACCTTATCATCACATATACATATATATATATATATATATATATATATATATAGAGAGAGAGAGAGAGAGAGAGGGGTTCATGCATGGGAAAACCTATAAAAATCAAAAACTGAACACCACCATGTAACCGTTCAATTTTTCATTGTTTCCCTTCCACTTCTCTTTTCTTTTGTTAATATAATCTATCTATATTGGTGCTGTCTTAACTGGATTCATCCTTATCTATTGGCAGTAATTTAGTTTTAGTTTATGAGATAGATGATATATAGAACGGAGTCATAAAACCTGATATTACTGTTGATGGTTACAACTAAAAACTAATTTGCAGGAAATGTTCGATGATTGCATTAAGCTCCACGAGACGTAAGCAATTTCAGATGATACATATTAATCCATCACGATGTTTTGTCTTAACTAAAATTACTACTTGCTATAATGGTTCATGGGTGTAATTAATTATATATACTGTACATAAAATAATAACATAGCCAAAGAAACACTCAGTTCGTATCCATTTTTCACTTTGAAAATTCAGTCACATATCAAAATTGATACATCTTTCTTCTTACATTATCAATGATTCTACGATAAGATTCACAATGAGAAGTGAACAAATTATTTTGCTCCGTGTAAACTTTTTCTCCCTTATAGCCATCTAGTAAATTGGTAAAGGAAAAGGCCATGAGAGCATTCACAAAAGCAAGACCAATATGACAGACATGCTCAGGTATTTTTGCTCTTCAAAGTTTTTATTAAGGAAGGGCGGGACTGGCACTTGCCTCTGTAGGCCCAACAAAAATAGGGGCCCTGTTCTTTATTTATTAATAGTTGTTTAAAAATCTAAAAAATTAATTAATAGATTAAAACTTTCATGACTCTACGTATTCTCCTCGAAAGCAAAAGTTTGTTTATTTACTTTTTCTTTCATTTATTTCTATGATTAATAGAATATGCTTTCTTAACCTAATAAATAAAATAATTGACAAATTCTCTCATATATATATATATATATAGAGAGAGAGAGAGAGAGAGAGATATCGAGGGAGTTTCAAACAAGAGATGCAAAAATATTGAGAACATACGAATAAATGATTCATATGAGAGTCCTTGGTAAAATGAAACGTACATTCAGATATGTATTTTCAAATGAACTTTCACATGCATCATTTGTTTGTATATTCTCAACATTTAGTCTTTCTTAGGAGGGAGGGGATTGAAAATACATATCTGAATGCGCTTTTCTTGTTTTTTTAGGAGGGAGGGGATTGAATAGTTTTCCTGCAGTTTATTTTCATTTGCATCAAGAACCATTTATTTGGTCAGCACATTGTTAATACTTACTCCCCAACCAGAAAAACTTGCATACAATAAAAATGACATATAGAATCAAAATGCATATATAATTATTACAATTTTATTGAAATAAATGACAATTTTACTATTAACTAATTTATCTCTCTTCACAACTTTAAATATTTAAGCATTAACTAATTTATCTCTCTTCACAACATTATATATTTAAGCATTAACTAATTTATCTCTCTTCACAACATTATATATTTAAGCATTAAGGGTAGATTTAATAATTTAATTATCTATTTTTGAAACTAGACACCTATCTTGAGATAAACATACATAGATATGCATGTTGACCCTCATTTTTGGGACGGAAGGAGCATTAAATTTAATTACCGGTTGGTTATATATGTAGGCGTTGTATTAGAAGAGGATTTGTCAACCATTAATTAGTCACAGATTTCTAATCTCCATTAACTATTTAAGTATAACGGTAAAAAGAAGGGAAAAGTACAATAAAAACCAATGGACTTTTTTGTTTGGAATGATTAAGTCCTTTGACTTTTTTTTTGGAACAAATAAGTCCTTGGACATTCCAAAACATGTTAAATAAGTCTTTGGACAATTTTTTGGAACAAATAAGTCCTTGGACATTCCAAAACATATTAAATAAGTTCTTGGACATTTTTTTGGAACAAATAAGTCCTTGGACATTCCAAAATATGTTAAATAAGTCCTTGGACAATTTTTGAAACAAATAAGTCCTTGGACATTCCAAAAAATGTTAAATAAGTCCTTGCACAATTTTTGGAACAAATAAGTCATTGAACAATCCAAAACATGTTAAATAACTTCTTGAACTTTTATAAAACATGTT